TCTTTAAATATTATGTTACACACAGTATGTTATCAGTAGAAATTTCGCGATGATTGCTAAAATTTCTAATACTCGGTTGGTGTAAGAACAACCCAACCTAAGCACATTTCTTTATATTAAATATGTTCCATTTTATTTGTGTATGCTTTCTTGTATGAAAATTTGTGCATATTATAAAAGTGACACCTCTTAAGGAATTGCACAAACATATATTTACATCCTTAAGTTACTATGCCCGTAGATAACCAACTATAAATATAAATAATATTTTGATGATAGCATTGATATAAGATGTGATAAAAAAAGATAACTGAGATAATATAAACTATGCTTACTGTTATTTAATACATACTATTGAACGTACTCATGCAAGATATTATATCTGTACGTACTACTATGGTTATATATATGTGCAGCTAGCTACTATATCTGACATGCACATAAATGCTACTTGTATGTGATCTAGTTAGTGATGATAGATAACTCATTCAAAAGTTGCAATCGATTTCATATATGATAAAGTCATAAAATGATTTATTCATGAATTATATATAATTATGATCTCACACCTAACAGAACAGACTTTAGAAATTTAAGGGTTATAAATAAATATGAAGAATGCTTAGAACTATTGTGAAAGGATAGTAGTATTATAAAGATGTTGCACATACATGAACATGATATATGATGACATTGATTAAAGAGTACATGACATTATATGTTATATGCCAGACAATATTATTAGTCATATAGAGAACACACTTTACTGTAAATATATCAAAACTGACAACTTGTAACCCTATATATGCAAATCAATATTAACCAATGCTAATGACTAGTGTTTTGATACTACTCAACTTTGAATATAAACCAAGCTACTAAATATACTAACGCATCGTATATATTGAGTTTATTAATTAATGTAATATAGATGAATGGCTAAATATTTGTTAATGTTTATGAATTACTAATTTGTACTTGTTATGAAACTATGTTTGGAGAGTTCATGTTTATGGAATTTTGTACCATCAAGTGCCTAAATAAGCATGACTTATCTGGTATTTGTAATGGAGATCACTTGAAATATCATGATTAGATTACTGTGTTTGACAAGCATGACTTTATAAAAAAATATTATTAAATCACCTAGTTGTCATCCAATAGGAGAGACTGTGTATGAAGACGACTCTTGTTAAAAATATGATTTATAAGCGTGCTTTTATAGCATGGCTATCCCCTCGATATCGATATACCGATATGAGGTATTTTCTTGGCTATTACTATTGTAGCATCGACTAGACGGTGCACCCATCTTGATTGGACATGTTTTAGGTCACGGTTATTTTTAAAGTTTTACAAAAGTCGTTCCATGGTAACTCTGTGATTAGTGCACAATATTTCATGCACTGTCACTTAAAATTAAACTGACAAACATGAGGTTTATAAAGGGGAATTAGATGGAGAATATAACATGTATATAAACGGGTACATGCGCATTCTTGATATCCTGAGTTATATATACATGAGTCAAAGGGCCAATACTTGACTTGAAGCCGTGTTCCCGGGACGGTTTATGGGGAACCGATTTATATACATGAAAGTATTCTTCTCTAATTCAAATAACATGTAAAATAAGAATAATGTGTTTATATGCTTTGTGATAGATTTGGCATGCACGGCATGACCTGGATTAAGTATTGGTGATGTATATTTTGATTGGTTGTTTATAGAATTTTGGGAGTTGATATTTAGAGATTTACAATTTGAGATATTTGGTATATACGAGGGTTTCCTTGTTTGGATTATTCCCTCGACGTACTCATCTCGTGTTGTGGGTTTCTAAATCTTACCTCGTTTTAGTATAGGGTATAAGATATGTGCTTTGTGGTAAACCTTGTTTGATATCCATGTTTAGAAATTTCCTTTATCATCTTTAATTGAGTTTCTATATTTTCTTTATCCTTGCCACATACCCTTACACGCGCACAATTTCCTTATTTTTCATGCTTGCTGGGAGTTTTCTGACTCCCCTGGGGTTTGCATGCCCCAGACTTAGGAACCCTTTTTTTAGCAGGACCGAGCGTACCTTGAGGATCAGATTCAGCGACAGTGTTACTTTTGGTCCTATCACTCTCTCAACGTCAGTTTATTTAGGTAGTTATTTATTTTAAACTTTTCCCGTAATCACCTGTGATTTTCCAGACTACGATGTATTTTCCTCTTTTCCATTTTGGATAGTTGTGGACTTGTCGTAGAACTTTGTAATTACAAAGATTTCTTTACCTATCTATTTTCTTGTTGTCTTAGTTACATGCTCTATGTAGTAGTTCTTAGCAATATATTTGTGTACAAGTTGATCCAGAGGCGTGAATGTGACTGTATGGTTACATTGCTGGCCAAGTCACGTCCCAAACTATCACATTTTGGAAACCGGTGCGTGACAAAGAATCTATGGATTTTGTAGAAAATATTGAAAATTTATTCTTGTAATGTGTGTATGTAATCAAGAACTCATGAATTTGTATGCAAAGATTATGGCTTTTTGCTCTCATGAAGTTAGTTTTGAATATGACCGAAAATTGGGTGGTTTTATGCAAATTTAAAGGCTAAATTTTTTGGGGACTTTTGTGCATAAATGGGTAGAAATTTTGAGGAGTTCTTCATCAAGAGAACTAAAATTTCATGCCCATTTGGCCGAAATTTTGATGGGTGCTTTATGCAAAACAAAAAGACCAACATTGTTAAGGGGTTTATTTGCAAAAAGGCAACCGAACATTGTGGAGGGGTTTATTTGCAAAATTGCTAAAATTTTAGGGCTGAAATTTGTAGAGTTTGGACTACATACTCATGACCAAAAGTTTGAGAGGTGTGTGTGCAAATTGGACCGAAACTTGTGGAGGGGTTTATTTGCAAAATTGGTCGAAACTTTGTGGAGGGGTTTATTTACAAAATTTGGCCAAAATTGTGAGATAATGAAGATGATGGTTTTCTTTTCTCAATCATGGCCCAAATTCAAAGGCGTTCGCGGCTAAAACTTAATCTTGAACATGAGGGGTATTTTGGGTATTTCACCCAAAAATTGATCATGAGGGTTTATAATGCAATTTGAGCTTATTGTTTGTATAAAACTCATAGGTTTAATTAGACTTCAACTATAAAATCCTATTCTTTTTATAGGACTTTAGTTAAAGTTCATAATTTTCCTTTTAATTTTCGGGCACTTAGACTTATGATTGTACCTGATCCATTGATTTTCGTTGCAGGTCAACCATGTCTCCGCGCTGACCGTGATTCCATAGGAGTCGTTCTTCTTCACAGCATAGCGAGAGGGAGACTCCCGTAGCATTCTCTTTCGGGAGTGAGCATTTATGCTTTCTGTATCCTCGTTTGGCCCCTTCGCGGGTCATTTGGGAAGAACCGACATCCTCCTTCGTGGGGATTGAGGTTTCGGGAGACTCCTGTGTGGGTCATTCAGGAAGAACAGACGTCCTCCTTCATAGGGATCGAGGTTTCGGGATGACTCATGGTCATGCCCTCGTTTTGCCCCCTTCGCGGGTCATTCGGGAAGAACCGACATCCTCCTTCACGGGGATCGAGGTTTTAAGTGACGTGTTTTGCTTGGCCAATTCATGTCTTTCGACATATTGGGATGATTTCGTGTTGTATTATACCATGTGGGTCGGGGTACATTACCACGTTGCTTACGTGATGATGCATACCGTTCTTCCAGTGTAGGACACTCGAAATCGTCTCGCCAATTGCTCAATGAATGACTCTATCTCGCTATCTTGTGAGATGAATTCAATCATTATATAATCCATGAATAATTTTCTGATTCTACGCTTGTTTTACCGTAGTTGAATTTCCCGTAGACAGCCTTCCCTCTCATGCTACTAGTGGTTGCAGTGGAGAGATTTTTGCTTCTGTTGCTGATAGGCAGGCCATTGGTCCGACTCCTCAGTTTGATAAGATCCGTTCCGAGGAATCCTATCGTTTGATACGAGATGGGGGACGTCGTTCCTTGTGCCAGTTGATTACTGATGCCCCCTTCACTGCAGACTCTATTTCCACTCAGGCTTTAGAGAAGCCTGGTTATTTATTTGGAGACCATGTCGAGGATCCAGCTAAGCTGACTCTTGCCGATGAGCACTGGTTGAATAATGACGAAGGGCTCCTTCTTTACATTCCTTCTATTCCCCGCCAGCATTCCCTTGCTCATTTGGAGATACAGGCTGTACAGCGACAGATGTCCTGGGATCTTACAGATGACCGTGACCGAGTTCATTGCGGATTTATTTCCCACCATAAGACCCCAGGTTCTGATGGACATAATTATATTCGTGGCCTTCGACCAGGGATTCTGGGTCTTGATACCGTACCACCAGATGAAGTGGCAGAAGCCGCTCTTACTGATAGTAACACTTTCTTGACTTGCAGTGGGGAGTTGGGATTAGCTTTGCATGAGATGCACAAAGTTTCTAGTCTTCTGATGGGGGATTGTCCGTATCAGGAGTACTTTTCCTCGAACTTGCAGTTAGAGTGGCTTAAGAAGGATTCCCCCGACATATACAACACGCTTTGGTACCTCACATGTCATTATTATACATCTCTAATCAAAGTGACCCCTCAGGTGAAGAGGAAGAAACAGATCAGCTTGAAGCAGTTCGCTGATTATCTATTCCAGCATTTGGAGGGCGATCCGAGCGAGACTGTTCGTGAGTTAGACATTTTGACATCTTCTGCCATTTATGAGTTAATGGAGAAGGCCGAAGCTTGCTCCCTCACTATTGCTGGTGCTGAGGGAGTTTTTCCTACAGGGACCAAATTTCAAACATTCCATTGTCATGCTCAGAAGTCTATTCGGCCCAAGACTCTGCTAGCAGGCTATCTTGCCATCTAGTTGAAGAAGTGCGTCGTTCCATATTAGTTTTTTGACGCCTTGCCTATTGAGGTACTCTTCCCCGCCAATCAGTTAGCTTACGGGAGGGAGCTTTCTCTGCTTTCGACGATGGTTACCGACATTCATTGTGGGCTTAGGTATTTGGTCGATGGTCTTACACATGTGGGTCCTGAACCGTCGACCGAGCTTCTTTCTATAAAGGTCGAGCTTCCGTATACATACCTGATGGCGTGGCTCGTTCTTCATCGTCTTGACTTGATGTCGGCGCCTAACACTGTTGATGCCTTCATTCCTTTTGTGCAGCTGTTGGAAAGGAGCAAGTGGTTTGGGAAGACATTTACTGATGTACAGCGAGAGCTTCAAGTTCGTAAGAGCTGGGAGTTCTTCAAGTGTTTTCCTCGCTTCTCGGGCCGCTATGATGACGTGTTGATTGATGAGGAGAAACCTAAGACCAGTTGGACTTCTCTTGACGCTGGTTGCTTCCATTGGTTGGTGAACATCCGTGTTGGATATCTTGTCCTTCAGGTGAAGGGTCGTTGCCATATAGAGCCTTATCTTCCATGCCGTTTCGCTCGCCAATTTGGTTACGACCAACTATATGTTGGGAACCCGAGCCGGGGTTTAAGGATCGAGGGGGATCTTATTGAAGGCGTCCGAGCATGGCTTTGGACTATGATGGGCTGTACTGGAGCCTATTTCGCTCTTCCTTTATCTAAGCACAAACCGTTGCTTACTTTTCTCAGCTGCAAGTGGTTCCTTTCTGCCAACGAGTTTCTAGATGTGAGGAGTCTTTCAGAGTTGGAGGCTGAGCACTTGGTTCAAACTACTATTAAGGCTACTCGTAAGATTGAGCTTTCGAAGAAGCAGGGGAAGAAGCCTGCCAAACCTTCCCGTTCGACCAGAGACAAGATGGAGGATGATGAAGAGCTTCTTCCTATTGACGATGAGGATGAGACTTCTGAGGAAAATATATAGACATTGATACCGACGGGGGAGAATCTGATACAGGTCTGTCAGACTCTTTCTTTTCGGAATTAATGAATTTAGCATTTTCTCGTTGGTATCAACACTATACTCTTTCTAAATCTCAATTATCTTCCCAGAAGCCGGAACGAAAGGTCTTATTTAGTCATCCTAATAAGATGACTCTTATCACTCCAGGTAGGATGGCTGACGAGCACAAGCCGTTCTCTTCTCGTTATGCGAGATCACAGCCCAGTGCCGAAGCTTCTGCACAGGTTGAGATGCGTACTAAGTCTACGCATGAGCGGCCTGTTGGTCCTGTAGGGGTTCGTCTTCCAAAGCGAAAGAAGGCCGCTCATAAATCACGTACTGGTCAGTGCACCTACGGAGCAGAGTTACGAAGCACCACTGGCGGAGAAGAGGGTAATGCTCTATAGTCTTTACTGCTTTAAAATAATTCTCTTTTGGATTCCCTGAAAGAGGGTAATGCTCTATAGTCTTTACTGCTTTAAAATAATTCTCTTTTGGATTCCCTGAATCTAATCATGTTCCGTGTTTCAGGAAATTCTCTTTTGGATTCCCTGAATCTAATCATGTTCCGTGTTTCAGGAAACTATGACGGAGGTGAACTTCTGTGAGACTCTGTATTCTCTGATCCTAGCCATTTGGATAGCTTCTTACAGCAGATGTGTGATGTCATTCATGATGAGCCTATGGATCTTGAAACAAACAGAGATGCTGAGCAGGTTGATAGCGTTAAGCCGACGGTCCCATGCTCAGGTATATCTAACATCAATAATACATTATTCGAGTAGCAGTTAAAGGAGTTTAGGAATTTAGGATTTGTTCCTCCTTTAATCACTTCCACGTTTCATTCTCTTTTAGACAAATTGAAGAACGCAGGCATGGAAATTGGGGCAGAAGAGCCTTCTACCACTACCGCAGGTAAATCTGAGTTCTTTTCTCTTTCCCGCCCCTTTTTTATATATCCAACACTTAAATTCTCACGCAGGTGTCACGCTAGAGAGGCCGGTCGAGGATGAGACTTTTCATGATATGGGTCTTAGGGGATTCAGCGGACATATGTATGTCTCAACACCGAGTTTCTCAGGATCTGACAGTAGATTGTTAGTTGAGATGTTGGCGGAGCGGGCCACTAGAGGGTCTGTAGTACCATCCTTTGAGGGTGGTTCTTCTGCAGGTATACACCTAATTTTCGACATTGTAACTATCTTCACTTGTCGAAACTTATATTTGACTGATAGGGAATTCTGATCGTATGACCAACCACTGGGGCTGATACCACTATGATTTCTGGCATCCCTAGTCCAGCTGAGGGTGATGAATCTACGGGTATGCATATAATCTCTTCTGTCGTCATTCTTTTCTTTTGCCAAAATTTGTATTTGACTAATAAAAAATTATAATCATAGGACCAGCCATCATGACTGATACGACTACGATTCCTACCATTTCTAGTTTGCCTGACGGTGATGCATCTTCTCCAGACCCGACGAACATTACAGAATTATCTAGAGGAGTTGATATACCCTCGACGATCACACCTGATGTTATCTCTGAGCCTGCTGAGATTGGACTGACGGAGCCGATCGTAGGACCTCAAACCAAAGGGACCCCTGTTGGTACTGATATGCTCACAATTCGCTTTGAATTTTCCACTATGTTCGAGAGTCTCTTATTCTTCTGCATGATTGCTTGTAGGATCTCATCTATCTCCATATGAGCGTGTCCTCGCACTTTTGGCCGATCCTGATCCCAACAAAGACATTTTCCGAATGGATCTCGGTTCTTTCGTCATCTTTTTTGGCAGAATGATCGAGAAACTTCTTCATCGGGGATATTATTTCGACCAGTTCAGGTGTTCCCTTGCTCGCCACATGACGATGATTAGATTGGAGGGATATCCTGAGTTAGATGATTCTTTCACTGCTGACTTTGTTTCTCTAGAGTGTGAACTCCGAGAGTTAGGGGAGCTGAAGGCTAGCGGGGCTTCTTCCTTCGTATCCTCTCAGCTAGAGCATAGACTGACACAATGGCATGACCTCAGATCTTCCATTGGTAGCGAGCTTCAGTCGCATGAGAGTTCTATCGCACAGATGATGGCTAGTCTTGCGAAGAAGGATACGAATAGAGTCGAGTTGCTCACTTCTTTAGAGCCCAACCACGAGGAGGTAGCTAGGTTGAAGAAGGCCTTGAAGTATGCTGAGGAGTCTGGTGCTATCATTGCAGATGAGCTGGCTAGTTTAGAGAGCTCTCGCGGATAGATACTTGAGAGACTAGGATCTACGTAGGAGAGATTGATGAAGCTGAAAGGTGAAGCCGCGAAGATCTTGAGCAGTTCTAAAGATTCTGTCCGAGCTGATCTGCAGGCTGAGCTTGAGCAAAGTTATGCAGATAGGCTTTATAGGTTAGAATTTCACATTCTCGGTCACCGACTGCGTTCGGGCCGATGAGCTTCATATTGTATACTTTGACTTGATCTATTAGTAGAGACCCAGTATTTGATTTAGTACACTCATCTTTTATCATGATGTTTCTTTGTTGATTGTGAACCCAATGGATACAAAGCTTGTAGAATTTTTGGCAAATCCTCAGCCGTCAACGGATTTGATGTGCCTTTACCGATTACCGTTTGAATTGAGCTAGCATATGGATTGTATAAGTCCGTTCCGTATATAACGTTATACTAAAAGAATTAATTCTTTTAGTACTACGATGTGGAATACGTAGACTTTGTCTTTATCACGGGAATAGACTACCCGGCAACGCGTGTTAGGCGTTGACTCATCCTTACTTAGGATTTAGGATAAAAATCCCCAGATTTGTATTCTGGTGACTTTTCATTCGGTAAAAGACTAAATCGGCAACGTGTGTTAGACGTAGACTTTGGATTTTTAGCAAATCCCCAGCCTTCAACAGATTTGATGTGCCTTTACTGACTACTGTTTGAACCGGGCTAGCATATGAATTATTAAAACTCGTCTCACATGTGACGTTATGTTGAAAGAGTTAACTCTTTCAGTGCTACGATATTGAATACGTAGACTTTGTCTTTATCATGGGAATAGACTACCCGGCAACGCGTATTAGGTGTAGACTTTGGATTTTTGGCAAATCCTCAGCGTTCAACGGATTTGATGTGCCTTTACTGAGTATCATTTGAACCAGGCTAGCATGTAAATTATTAAAACCCGTCTCACATGTGATGTTATGCTGAAAGAGTAAACTCTTTCAGTGCTACGATATTGAATGCGTAGATTTTGTCCTTGTCTCGGGAATAGACTACCCGACAACACGTATTAGACGTAGACTTTGGATTTTTAGCAAATCCTCAGCCTTCAACGGATTTGGTGTGCCTTTACCGACTACCGTTTGAGTCGGGCTAGCATGTGAATTATTAAAACCCGTCTCACATGTGACGTTATGCTGAAAGAGTTAACTCTTTTAGTGCTACGATATTGAATACATAGATTTTGTCTTTATCATGGGAATAGACTACCCAGTAAAACATGTTAGGTGCTGACTCATCCTTACATAGGCTTCATGATAAAATTCCCCAGACTCGTATTCTAGTGTCTTTTCATTCGGTGAAAGACTAAATTGGCAGCATGTGTTAGATGCAGGCTTATCTCTATTTTAGGGTTTGAGATAAAATCCCCCGTGCATGAAATGTACGGATTTGGAGTTGAGAATTATGTTTTTCTAAAGGTAAAGACAAACCCAGAGCGGGAGAGGAAGAATTTTATATTCTATCTCCGAAAACTAAAGAGGAAGAATTTTATATTCTATCTTCAGTTGCAAAGGAGACTCGAGGTGGGATCTCCACCCCCAGAATCCGGAAAGGTAAAACTAGGAGTGGGATCTCCACTCTGAGAATCAGAAGGATTCAAGCAACCCTAACCTTTATAGGATTGGTTGCTTAATCCAAGAAAAGAGTTCCTTATTTATTAAGGTGAAATTCCGATTTCGACCCTAACTTTTATAGGTTTGGCTGAAAAAAAGGTGGAAGTCTTTCGTTTATCGAAAGGAATGACCCGATCTTGGTCCTAACTATCTGTAAGTTTGACCAAGTGAGGCTGGAGGCAATCCTAACTTTTATAGGTTTGATTGCTCAATTTGAAAATGGACATCTCGTTCATGGAAGGAATCGAGAAGGGAATTTGGCTTTGGCCCTAACTTTTATAGGTTTGACCAGAAAGCAATGGGAGTGGAATACAGACAGTAGTAGAAATACCGACTTGTATTAGCCACTCGATGGAGGATTTTGATGTTAAGTGATCAGGACTTAACACATCAAGTTTTGAAAATTGTCAAGAATTGGCGTATAGAAATTTTGGTGGACCCGCCGTTAATTGATTTGATCAGTGGGGGATTCTGTGAGGAAAGATTGATCTGTCAAAACTAGTCTAATCTCATCTCAGCAAAAGAATTCATGAGAATTGGTGAATTCGATATCAATAATGAAATACGCTTCAACTTTGAAAACATTCAGAGTCTAAACGTGGATTTCTTATTTATCACTTTTGTACTGACTGGGTTATCCCTAAGAATACCAGATATAGTATTCTTCTGGGAACTTCCCGGTACTGGTTATCCTAAAAGTACTAAAGATAGTACTTTTTTAGGAACTTATCGTTTATCGGCATCATAAGCCGGTCGCCTTCCTTGGTAATAAGGCGATATGCGCCACTCGAATAGACTGTCTCTACTATGAACGACCCTTCCTATTTGGGTTCAAATTTACCTTTCTTCTTGGAATTAAGGATCATGGGCCGTTGTTTAGTTAAGACTAAATCTCTTTCTTTAAAACTTCGTTGCCGAACCTTTTTTATCAAAAGCTCGGGAAATTCTGGCTTGGTAGAACTCAATGTGCTGTTGAGCTTCTAAGTGCATTTTGTCGAGCATCTCAAGTTCTTCGAGACGCTTCTGATGTTGTTCTTCGGTCATCATCTGGGCTGCGAGAGCGATTCGAAGAGATGGAATTTGAATTTCTAACGGAAGGACGGCTTCACACCCATACACCAAAGAATACGGGATTGCGCCAGTAGGCGTGCGAACTGTGGTGCGGTAAGCCCATAGGGCTTTGCCGAGTTTATCATCCTAATCTCGTTTGTTAGTCTTCATGAGTTTTGATAAAAGCTTGATGATAGTCTTGTTAAAGGCTTCAGCTAATCCGTTTGCTGTGAGATTGTAAGTTGTTGATGAGATGTCTTGGATTTTGAACTTCTCACAAAATTTGATGAATGCATTACTGACAAACTGAGGACCGTTGTCATGTATGATTCGTCTCGAGACACCATACCGGTAGATAATGTGGTGCTTAATGAACGCAATGACGTTGTTCGTCTTAACTTCTTTTAGCGGAATTACTTCAGCCCACTTGGAGAAGTAATCAGTAATTGCTAGAATGAATCGATCACCCTTGACTGACGGGGGATTTATAGGACAAATGATATCCATTCCCCAAGTCTCGAAAGGCCATGATGTAGCCGAAGGATGCAGATGTTCTGGGGGTTGGTGCATATAATTCGCGTGCACTTGACACACGTGACACTTTCGGGCATATGCGACCGCATCTTTAATCATGGTGGGCCAGAAATATCCCATTCTTCTGATGCAGTCATAAAGTTTGGGGCCAGGTTGGTGTACACCACAAACCCCTTCGTGTGTCTCCTTAAGGACTTCTTCTGCCTCTTTAGTAGATAGACAACGTAGTAGTAAACCATCATACCCCCGACGATATAGCGTTCGACTCTCCGTGTTATAGTAGAATCTCGGTGCCCTTCGTCGGATTGAGTCCCTTTCCTTCACGTCTTTTGGTAAAATTCCATGCAAGACATAATCGATGATAGGGAAACACCAATCTCGGGGTTCGAATTCGACTTGAGTTGAATGCACTTCTTTAATATCCTCTTCTTTGTCATCTTCATCGTAGATTGGCACAAAGAGTTGGTGAGTCCTCACCGTAACAAACTGTTCCGTTTCAGGAGGTTGTGCCAGGGATACGGCTAATGCTGCTAATGCATCCGCGTAGGCGTTCTGTAACCGCAGAATGTATTCGATAAAGAATCCTTCAAATGATTCTGCCATCTCAACAACCACTTTATGATATGGTATCAAATCTTGATTTCTGACCTCATACTCTCCCTGAACTTGTTTAACTATCAGTTGAGAGTCACCGAAAGCTTCGAGGTATTTGACCCCTAGCTCTTTAGCAAAGTTGAGTCCAATAAGTAGCGCATTATACTCGGCTACGTTATTCGAGCATGGCTCCTTACCTTTTCCTTTTGACTTTTTCTTGGAAGAGGTTCCAGTCCATTGTTCATCTCCAACCAAATCTGGATGAACCCAAAGAATCTCACCATTCGGGGCTGTGTGCGGTACAAGTCCTTTCTGGCGTTGCTTGTGAGGATCATCGTTCACCGTCTTCACTGCTGCCTTTATTACTGGCTCAAGCTAGAACCAGTTCAAGGGAGCAGAACCGAAACTAATTGATACTGCATTTGCTCCCACTTTCTTCTCCTTCGGCTGCTTCATGGTGATGAACCCAACATCGATTAGAGCTTGGATCTTGTCCTTAAGGGCATAGCACGCCTTGGTAGGATGGTACACCGCTCTATGAAATGCGCAGTATTTTGGATCATTGTTTCTGACCTCATACTCTCCCTGAACTTGTTTAACTATCAGTTGAGAGTCACCGAAAGCTTCGAGGTATTTGACCCCTAGCTCTTTAGCAAAGTTGAGTCCAATAAGTAGCGCATTATACTCGGCTACGTTATTCGAGCATGGCTCGGTTAGAGAGTAAGCTCGAGACATCACATGTTTTCCTGGAGAAACTAAGACAACTCCAACTATGGAGGAAATCTTAGAACATCCAGGAGCACTTGCTATATTAGTTGCTCGAGAAGCATCGTCGAAGTACAAACGCCACACCTGTTGATGGGAAATTACATTGACTTTGTGGGTTTCATCTGGCAAATCATCGTACACCTCGACGGTTTCATAGTTGGGTTTGCCGCCAGGAGATCACAAATAGCCTGTCCTTTGATCGACTTTTGTTGTTTAAAATGTAGGTCGTATTAGGACAGAAGCAATGCTCATTTTGCCAATCACCAATTCATGAAAGCTGGCTGCGTCATGAATACTCGGATTGGGTTAACATTGGAGATGACGTAGATAGTCTGTCCGACCAAGTAGTGCCGCATCTTTTGAATAGTGAACACCAAGGCGAGACACTCTCTTTCAATCATTGGATACCGAGATTCGGCGACCATAAGGGTTCGGCTTAGGTAATATACCGCCTGTTCGTGACCGTTGTCATTGTCTTGTGCAAGTAATGCACTTAACGAGTGGCTCATCGCCTTGACGTAAATT